TCGAAAAACTAAGCATCCATTTATGTTTGATTCTTCAAATATCCATCGTTCACAAAGTCATTGATTTTTTGTTGTGCCTGTTGTTAATTCTGTACTTGTTTTAAAAAGACTTGTACCATTCTGTTTTTATAGCTGTATGGTAAACTGCCTTTGTGAATTAATAATAGAGATGTGTCTATTACACTGTAATGAATTTTTTTGAAAWTCTTGAATCGTTCTCTGGACCATGACCGATCAGAATGGTTAGTCTCAGCTGTTAATAATTTCAGGATTTTTGCTGCACGCTCTTGAAACATGTTGTTACATTTGTAGAAGCTTACAAAATAAATGAATATTTTGAAACAATTAACAATTGTTATAAAAATATATCCTAACAAAAGTCCATGTGAATAATGATCCATGCGGTTACACTTGTAGCAGGTCATCTCTTATTATTTTGCATTCTTCTTGCTCTGTCTGTCTTTTCTTTCTTTCCTATAGTGCTACTTTTCTCTTATTGTTTTTTTCTTTGAAGAATATATTCAATCGTCAAACTCACTTGAATCCCTAAATTGTTACATAATATAAATTTATTAAAATTAATAAATATTACAGAAAATAATTCAATTATAATTGTTTGGAGTATGTAAGCAAATGGATATCTTAAATTATTGATTTGCAGATTAACACAGGTACTAACCAAACCAAACAGACATATAATATTCACAAGATTAAATAGTGCTTAACGTATTTCTTAATATTCTATGCAATACTATTGTATGTTTATTTTATATTTTTATTTCTAAATATTTAAAGAAATCGATTTTAGTTCCTTAAGTACCTCTCCTGTATTCTTTCCAACTCCTTCCTCCCCTCTATCCTCCAAATTTCCCCTGCATACATGAATATACTCTTTACCATCGCATTGAACATTATCATTCTCCTCCTAAAGTCTCCACCAAATTTCCTCTCTCCAATGCTCCATACTTGTACCATAGCTGCTGCTGCTCTCCTTCTTACATCCTGAATATGCGACTCTTCCTTGTTATTGTACCTAAACGTGTATCCTAGATACTTGAACTYCCTTACCTCCTCTATCTCTTTCCCATTATAGAACCACTCTCTTTTCTTTCTGCTCCTTCCCTTACTGAACATCATCACTTTCGTTTTTTCCGTATTTACTTCTAGATCCTTCCTCTTGCAATATCTCCCCACGCTTTCCATCATTTTTTCTAGTTCCCCCTCCGTCTCCGCTATTATCGCCAGATCATCTGCGTACGCCAAGGTGTATATTCTCTTNGTCATTGATTTTTTGTTGTGCCTGTTGTTAATTCTGTACAGCAATAAGTCTATGAATGTGGCATCTTCAATGGACAAATGTACTCCCAATTGTATTTCTTGTTTTAAAAAGACTTGTACCATTCTCTTTTTATAGCTGTATGGTAAACTGCCTTTGTGAATTAATAATAGAGATGTGTCTATTACATTATAATTGTTAAGGTATGGCTGATAAATAAGACAACGCAGAGTTAATATTAAAAGTAAGATTTATTATAAGAAACAGTGGAAAAGAAAGAACTGGTGGACAAGCCTAGAGCGAGACCGAATACAGAATACAGTGTACCAGCAGGACGCAACAGCACCCTGTACTAAGGGACTGTGCGGCCCATAGGAGGAGTAGGGGTAAAGAGTAGGGGTGACGGAGTGAGAAGACATAACGTCTCTTATATACGCTATTCTTAACACTCCCTCCCGGTATGTCTCGATACTCCACAAACTTTTGTTAATAAACTCTTTAAATGGTTTAAACCATACAATATATTCAACAACATCTTTAAGTGATTAAAATCGTAAATAGATTGAACAAAATCTATGAACGAATAACTTTTCATGCTTATTTATACTGAACCAATTCAAAATAAAATTAATCTAACTTGACAAATCTTTGGCACGGAATGTCAGTTAACTCTTAGTTAGACAGCTTGGCCCTGTGAAGAAGAAGATTTATTCCCTGAAGAGGTGCTGGCACCTTGACTACCTCCTTGGCCATTTCTTCGGCCACCACGAATACTAAACCTGCCTCTCTTTGCTCCACGACGACCTAGATCAAGCTTGCGCTCACCTTCGGGTTTAGACCTACCCTCGTGTTCACGCTTTTGACTTAATTGACCTCTAAATCTGCCTGATCTGCCTCGGTAGTGGGTGCTAGTATATCCGCGGCCCTTATGGTTCAGTGACGAGCCACCTCGCTGTCGATGAGCTGGTGATCTAGCCACCGAACAATGTTTAGCCATGTGGCCAGGTTTATCACATACAAAGCAGTTGGTTCCCTTTATTTCCCTACATTGGGAAACACTTCGCTGTACCAAGGTTAACTTCGTTTATTTTCACTGGTTTTCCGTGAGTATGAACAATACTCACCGGAGCACCAGAAACCCTATCACGACCATTATCTTGAGTAGCTGTACTGCTACTTCCAACAGAAAACTGTTGAGCTGTCGAGACTGCATCGTCTAACTCCGATATTCTTAACAATAATGAATTTTTTTGTGATTCTTGAATCGTTTTCTGGACCATGACCGATCAAAATGGTCTCAGCTGTTATTATTTTGAGAAACCCGTGCTAAGAATATTTGAAACTTCTTATAGCATTCTTGATATATTTTACAGTAGATTTGGGCAGGTTTTTCGGTGATATCTGTTAAGTTTTTTCTACGAATAGAAGACATTTTTATGTGGAATTTCGTCCAATGCTACGTTAGAAAAATGTAACTCACTGTTATCCAAAGTTCATCTCTTAAGTAATTACTTTTCTTATTGGATTTATAGCAGGTGGATTTATAAAATCTTTATATACATTTAAATTATTTGAAAACAATCCCTTTGTGTGGCTATTTAACTTTCTGCAACTCACTGTTTTAATTTTTTGTCTACAACATTCCCAATATGTTCTATTGCCATTACTTATCAAACCCAAATTGTGGAAGTTGCATTGTTCATTAACCGTTTGAGTCCCAAGCAGCGCGATCGCGCTGTTCACATTTTATGTTGAAAAAACCCAGTACATTTCGAGCATTGTAGACAACTGACGGTGCGCTCATATATATAAAACAAATGCATACAAGNTTGCATTTGTAGAAGTTTGCAAAATAAATGAATATTTAGAAACAATTATCAATTGTTATAAAAATATATCCTAACAAAAGTCCATGTGAATAATGCTACATGCGGTTGCACTTATAGCAGGTCATCTCTTATAATTTTGCATTCTTCTTGCTCTGTCTGTCTTTTCTTTCTTCCCTATACTGCTACTTCTCTCTTACTGTTTCTTTCTTTGAAGAATATATTCAATCGTCAAACTCACTTGAATCCCTAAATTGATACATAATATAAATTTATTAAAATTAATAAATATAACAGAAGATAATTCAATTATAATTGTTTGGAGTATGTAAGCAAAGGGATGTCTTAAATTATTAATTTGCAGATTAACACAGGTACTAACCGAACCAAACAGACATATAATATTCACAAGATTAAATAGTGCTTAACGTATTTCTTAATATTCTATGCAATACTATTGCATGTTTATTTTATATTTTTATATCTAAATATTTAAAGAAATTGATTTTAGTTGTTTCATCATTTTGAAATCTTTCTTTCCCCTCGTTGATTACTTGTCTTCTTTTTTATAATTATTTAAATATTTCCCATTTTGGTCTTTTTTTTTTCTTTTTGAAGTTTCCCTAATTTTTTCAGTTTCGTTCTTAATTACATACCCATTAGAATCGTCGTAATAAAAACGGTACAATAATAAATCTATTGATGTGGCAGCATCCTCCACAGAGAAAAGGACTCATGATTGAATCTCCCGTTTTAAAAAGTATTTGGCCAAATCTTGAATTTTATATCGGTAACTTCAATCGCTTTTATAAGATAATAATAATGAACTATCTATTACATTGTAATGTATAATTTTTAAAATCCTCATATCATTCTCCAAACCATGACCGATCAAAATGGTCTCTGCAGATATTATTTTTAATAATTCCTTTTGAACCATTTTGAAAGTCATAGCATTCTTGATATTTTCAATCGTCGATTTGGCCAGGTTAATCGATTAGGTTTCGTCAATTTTTACCCACGAATAAAAAACTATTTCACCGTGGACATCAACCAACGCTACGTTAGATAAACGTAACTCGCCGTTATCCAAAGTCACCATACCGCAATCTAACCCGTAAATCCCGTAATTACTTTTTTTATCTTGGGACTGTTTTGTTTTTATAAAATCTATATAAATATTTTTATTATTCGGGAACACTCCCCATTTGTGGCTTTTTGTTTTTTTACATCCCATTGTATTTATTCTTGTCTTGCAACATTCCCAACATGTTCTACTGCCCTTACCTATTAAACCCTAACTGTGGGAATTACATTGCTCGCTGATATTTATGAGTCCGTGCTGGTGTTATTAAAAATCTTTATAACATCTGCTACACCGGATTTCATAAATATCATCATTTATTACTTCCACAGTCCAGGATTTGAGACAAACATCAATTGCTTTCTTTAAATTAATTCTATTCGGATAATTCGCCTCGATCAACTGAACTATTAAATGCACATATGACAAAAGAATTACAAACAAACTGTCGGTATTCTTTAGAAGTTTTACTTTCTCGTCGTTAAACGCGTCTAAAACCTGCAATGTGCATACATTTTTTCCGATTTGATGTTTGTCCTTAGTTTTATTGTTCCCTATTACTACCATTGATTGACTCTCAATATATTGGCTCGATATTAACGATTTTGTATCTATTGGCATGCTAATNGCTGTTCACATTTTATGTTGAAAAAACCCAGTACATTTCGAGCATTGTAGACAACTGACGGTGCGCTCATATATATAAAACAAATGCATACAAGTAGCGCTATCGCGCTGCTTGGGTCTTCTCTTACTCATTTAGAAAAAGCGCAGTTGCGCTGTTTGGGATTCCTCGACAGTGTTTTTTCAAAACCCCCTGGGAATCAAACGGTTAACCCTTGCGTTGCGGCAGTCCATTCCGCGGGAGTAGCGTTTAAGATTAAATCTATTTATGTATATTATTTACGTTTTAGTCAATTTCCCAACAAGGGAAGTGACAATCTATTTCGTCATATTATATAGAAAAACATAAAAATGAGTATATATTGTGGGTATTTAGAAATTTACATATTACAGTCGGCACTGTAGAGGGTTTCTCTATAGTAAAAGTAAAATTAGACTGAATTTTCTTTGTTACTTTTATTCAAAGGATGCGACTAACTTTTCTTTATTGTCAGTGATCCCATTTGTACGATAATTAGAAGTCTTGTACGATCCAAACTTCAGCCTGTACGATAATTTAAAGCTTGGACAATTTTTTTCCAATTTTGAAAATCCAATTCGAGATATTGTACAAATTCCAAATTTTTCCTGTGCGTACGATAAGTTTCCGCGTACGCTCCTGTGTCAATCAGACGAACTAAAGTCTCTTGGATCACTGACCCGTACACACAGCGCCGTCTCGCGGACATCGACTATAGTCGGCACCCGTATAGTCGGTGTCCGTAGCGAAAGGGTTAATATTTATAAGTCCATGCCGAGATAAATAATAAATGTGTTAGGACAAACATCTATTGGTTTTTTTTCAAATTAATGTTATGCGGATAATCCGTCTCTATTAAGTGACTTATTGTATACACATATGATAACAAAATTAAAAACCATCTCTCCATCTTTTTTATATGATCTACTTTTTCGTCATCATCAAACGAATTTAAAACTTGCAATGTGAATACAATTTCTTCCGAATTGATGTTTGTCCTTGATTTTATTTGTCTCACTTACTATAATACAATAACACTTCTCTGCAACGGATCGTTTATTTTAAAAGTGTTCTAAGTTCATTTTTGAAAAAAGAAAAAAGAATGAAATATCACGCTGTTCATGTTTAATTTCTTAAAAAATTTCTATGTTTTATTGTACAATTTAAAATTGGTCGATAAATTAATTTGCATAATCATCGATTATAATAATAAATAATTAATTATAATATTTCATGTATAAAGATATGAAGCAGTTATTTTAACTTATACAACTTAGGTGGTGCATCATGCATATTTCAAAACACTGTCACATGCAAAGTATAAGTAAATACTATTCATATCTTGTAATTTTAACGATGTAACTAGGGATTTAAAATGAAAAATGCTACTTCTATTTTATATCGTGTCATTATTTGTAAATTAAATTCGATTAACCCTTTGCACTTCGAATTGTATTATAATTGTTGTTTTAAGCAGCTTCTAATAAAATATGATAATTTAAATATATTGTAATAGAAGAAATAAATGAAATAAAATGTTAAATTAAAACGTCCATTTTTTTTTAATTATTATTATATTTTGTAATTTTCAAAGTTATATCTTTTGATGTAAAAATCGATGTCGAGTCACACTCGACATAAGAGTGCAAAGGATTAATATGAAATATATTTGAAGTGTGATATTTGATTTTTCAAAAATCAAATTATACGTCAATGTTTACAATTGACTAATTTTGAAAGTGCTTGCTGAAAGTCCATTTGAGATGCTCATGTAAATATACATTACCTTAGTTACATTCGCCTAAAACCAATTTACATGATCAAATTAAATGTCGATAAGTAAATAAGCACATTGCCATATTGAATATAATTACCTGATAATTTTGTATTTAGAAATATGCGAACCTTTAATTTATTAGAAATAAGAGAAAATGGACTTACAACCACTTTCAATATAAACTGTCCATATAT